AAGGCTTAAACAGGATCTAGAGGGAGTTAAGGAAAGGGATTTTTTAAACTTTCATAATTACAGAGAAGAACATAGGGGACCCGCTCAGGTGCACCCCCAATCCTAAAGGCCACTGCCCCCCGAGTACCTCCCATTAGGTGGAAGCCAGGAAGCCCAATCTGGGTGGAGCAGTGGCCATTGACCAAACCTAAACTTGAAGCCCTCCACCTTCTGGTGGAGGAACAGATAAACCTCGGGCATATTCGCCCTTCCATTCTTGGAACACACCTGTATTTGTTATTCAAAAAGTCTCCAGGGCTTGGCATGTGCTCCAAGACCTAGGTAAGGTAAATGAAGGGATGGAGCCAGTGGGAACGCCCCTAAGAGGCATGCCCTGGACTCCTGCTATACCTTCAGAATATACCTTGGTTGTGATTGATATTAAAGATTTTTTTTTCTATCCCTCTGCATCCAGATGACTGCGAGAAGTTTGCTTTCTCTATACCTTCTCTTAATTTTTTCCAGCCTGATCGGAGGTTTGAATGGACGGTGCTGACACAGGGAATGGCCAATAGCCCGGCCTTCTGCCAACAATACTTGGCTACACTGTTAGGGCCTGTGCTGGGTTCAGATACCTCCCTTGTCTATGCCTACATGGATGATGTAATTCTGGGGCACCAAGACCCAAACTGCCTGGAGGGCCTTCTGGCCCAGGTTCTCGCCATATTAAAAAAGGGGGGGTTTACCATAGCACTTAATAAAATTCAAAAGGTAGCTCCTTTTAAGGTGCTCGGGACCCACTTTACCTTGACTCAGGCCAGCCCCCTTAAGCCTTTGCTGGATATTCCAGCCTCTCTGACCTTAACCCAACTTCAGAGTCTTTTAGGGGAAATCAATTGGCTGTTACCACAGGTTTCTGTCCCTAAAGATAGTCGCATGCCCCACGTTGGGCACCAGATGTTGGGGTAAGTGCGGTGCTCACCCTTTCCCCAGACTCCCTCAGCCCAGGAGACAATCAGACACAGCGGGAAGCCAAATCCAGCAGGTAGAAAACTGGTTTATTTACAGAGAGCAGCCCTTTTTAAAGCCAGAAAGGGCAGGTGGCATGGCAAGGGAGGAAGAGGAACCAATCACCGTCAAGGTCACACCCTATCATGCACATAAGCCTTCACAGGCTGGTTAGGCACTGATGGGAAGGCAAATTGGGCTCTGCCAGCGCCATCTTTGCTGCCCATGTGCTCTACAGTAAATTGGGCTCTGCCCACTCAACCCCCTCTCAGCGCCATCTTTGCTGCCCATGTGCTCTACAAAGTTTATGTTCTTCAAGGCTATGGTATGACACTCTTACCAATTTTTTCATCATTTTGTATCTCCGCATTCTGTGTCATTTTGTATTCAGATCTAACCTTATCCTCTTTGGGCATGGTAACACTGGATAATTGAAATTAATATTTAGGGCTGGGAATGTGGCTTAGCATTAGAGTGCTTGCTTACCATGCATGAAACCCTGGGTTTGTTTCCTCAGTACCACATAAACTGAAAAAGCTACAAGTGATAGAATGCTAGCCTTGAGCACAAAGAGGCTCAGGGACAATGCCCAGGCCCTAAGTTCAAGCCCCAGGATTGACAAAAAATTAGAATTATCTACCTCAGGAGTAATTCTAAGGAGGAAAATAGGAGTCTACTATAGCATAATAGGTACATTGGATTTGGAAGGAGAATGTTCTGAAAGGAAATTAGTTTTAAAGTCTTGGTGATAGCTTTGGTGATGGGTCCCAGGTTCTTGGAATTCTACTTTCCCTTCTGTCTTTCTTAGCTTACTTGTGATTATTGTCTCATTATATATGTATATATTTATACACACATTATATATATATATATACACATATATGTATATATTTACTGTATGCTATGTACCTTTCCACAATAACCCTGCTAGCTGGTATAGTTGATATCATACAGGTGAAGAAACTAAGACTCAGAAAAATTACAGTGTGCAGGATGACACATATAATAAGCACTGCTCTTAGGAAACAAACTCAGGGTTTCTAATTCTAAAAGATTCACACTTTTAGATAACATGCTGTATAACTCTGTATATACACACATAGGTACATCCAGACAGAAATATATACCTGTGTCTACAGGCATATATGATCATTTCTACATATGCACATACACATATATACACAGAGATGCACAGCAATACACATGTGTAAACACATGCTGGATTGGTTTGTTTGTTGTTGTTTTTCTCAGCTGTGGGGCCTGAACTCTGGACCTGGGCGCTGTCCCTCAGCTCTTCAACTCAAGGCAAGCGCCCTACCACTTGAGCCGCAGCGCCACTTCCTGATTTTTCTGCTTATGTGGTGCTAAGGAATTGAACCCAGGGCCTCATGCATGCGAGGCAAGCACTCAACCACTGAGCCAACTTCCCAGCCCCAGACCTTGCAGTATAGTAATGGCACATAACACTCACCTGAGCAAGTGTAAAATGCATATTCCAGGAGCCCGTTCCTCCCTCCACATACCTCCAGAGATTTTACTTCAGTAGCCTGGAATAGAGCACAGGATTTACAGTTTATTAAGGGCATTCCAAAGCTCTTTTGATAGTGGATGGACATCACTGAGAAAGAGCAGAGTAGAGAAAACAAAGCTTTAAATGGATGATCACAATAGCACTTGTTAAATGCTGGGGAGTACAGCGGGGGGAGGGGTGAGTGTTGAGAGAAGAAGCATCAGCATCAAAGCAGGAACCATAAACTCAGTGGTGTGGGGGTGGGGGTGGGGGTAGGGCTCAGAGAAGGCATCCATATTAATGGTGGAGTGGGTGGGTGGCTTACCAGGTGGAGCAGGGAAGGCTTTGAAGACTCTTGTGGATTGTGTGGAGGTAAAGGGATAGGTCTTAGCAAGACCACCCTCTTTCCACTGGGTCAAACAAACATGGCAGACACTAAATGACAGTCCTACCAGGATTCTGATGCATCTGTCAAATGGGGGCATAGAGTGGTGAATGTCACACTGTGAAAATGTTTCCCAGTTCAACCGACAACACCATTTGGAGAATTGCTTATACATTTTTGTCAGTCAAAGGGCTTGAACCCAGGGGCTGGGTGCTGTCCCAGAGCTCTTTTTGCTCAAGACTAGTGCTCATGTTGAGCCACAGCTCCATTTCTGGGTTTCTGGTGGTTACTTGGGAGATAAGAGTCTCACAGACTTTCCTGCCTGGGCTGGCTTTGAACCACAATCCTCAGATCACAGTATCCTGAGTAGCTAGGATGACAGGTGTGAGCCACCAGCGCCCAGCCCCATTGGAGGATTCTGAGTAGAAAAAGGATCATAGTGAGGTAAGATGGGCCAGAGAAGCTTAACAAGAGGAGCTTTTTTTTTTTTAATTTGACCAAACAAATAAAACAGAAGGTTTCACTTTACTGTCAATGAAAGAGCCTCCAGGTTCTAGTCCTGATGCTACTTTACACCTGATGAACCCCTGGGCAGTCCTTCCTCCCAGTTGCTTAGTTAGGATCTCACCATCAGTCTATGGAAAGGTGCATGGCTGCTTTGCTGCTTTGCACACATACACACACACAAACACCACATATATCACCATTCACAAGTTCCAATCGTTTCCAACTAGTGACTATCCTGGGTTCCTGAGGCAGGAGTCACCTTTGCTGGCAAGAACAGGTGTGGACTCTGGTTCAGTTTTGTTTTCCTTTCCGTTGTTTTGGATGGAATCAGAGGGTTCATTTCTGAAAAAGAAAGGGCTGTGTTGAGTTTAAGAGCAAAGGCCTCGGAGTAAGACTTGTGCTTAAATTCTGGATCGGCCTCTTATCCCCTGGGTGACCTTCGACTATTTATTCCACCTCCCAGAGCTTCAGTCTTTGTTACCTAAAAACTGGGATAAAAATACATACCTCGCAGGGGTATGTCGCAGGGATTAAAGGATAATGGGTGCAGACCTGAGAGCTCCGTGCAGGGCACGAGGTAGCCAAGCCAGTTACAACAACAACAATAACAACAACAAAAGCAGTCTGCGGCTCCCAGAAAGGAGAACTATTGCCGTTAATACCATCGAAGGAAGAGCACTGAGGCACAAATGGCTGTCGCCTCCTTCCAAATCTGGCAGAAAGCCAGCCTGCCAGAACTTAAAGGGACTTGAGATGGGTGGGACCTGGCGCGGGGTGGGACCCGGGAAGCCCGCGCGTGGGCGGAGGTGGTGAGGACGGGTGAGGGTTCTTGGGGCGCCCCCCCTCTCCCCGGGCTGGGCTGGTACGGGAGAAGAGAGGCTGGGTTTTCGGGGGGCGAGGGGGGGTGGGCCTCGGTGTCCTGGAGACCCGGGGTAGCGGCGGGAGCGAGGGAGAGAGAGGAGGGGCGACCGGGGGAATTTCCCCGCCTCTCTCCCTCCGGCCATAAATCACCGCAGTCGCGGCGGCGGAGCCGGGAAGTGCACGGAGCCGGAGCGCAGCGTGGTGGCACCAGACACCTCCCTTCTCCCACCTCTTTTCTTTCCTCCAGTTGTGTGTGTGTGTGAGTGTGTGTGTGTGTTCAAGCCCCCCCCCCCCTCGCTCGGTGACTGCCCCGGCCGTGCCGCCGATCGCTCCCCCTTCGGTGTCGCCGCCCGCCCTCGTCGCCTTGGCCGCGCGGGGGGACACAGGGGAAGCGAAAGCGGCGCGGCTCCGCCTGTCACCCCCGCAGGGCCACTCCGCACACCCCGGCCTGCGGGAACCCCGACTCCCGGAGCCGTCCTCGGAGCCGCCGGGTGGTGCGGGCGCCGGGCGATCGGGGAGCGCTCGGCCGGCCACTTCCTTTCTCCCGCCCGCCGGCCGCCGCAGCCCGGCGATGGTGGCCGCCCGCGCTCCCGCGCTGTAGCCGGGCGCCCCCTAAGTTTGGGAGCCGCCGCCTCCGCGGCGCACACACCCGAGTGCAGACCGGGAAGAAAGTTTTGCAGGGTGCGCGGGTCGGGTCCTCCCGGCTTGCCTGCGCCGGGAGCCCTTCGGCGGGGAGTGGCGGGAGGCAGCATGGCCCGCGAGGCGGAGGAAGAGGAGACCGCGGAGACGGCCGCCCCGGCCCTCCGCTGTCCGGGCTCGCGGGGCTGGGCCGGGGCCGAGGCCAGAGCCGGAGTCGGGGCCGGGGCGCGGCGGCTGCCGCCCCTCTGGCTTCTCGGTCTGATGGCGTGCTGGCTCCTCGGAGCAGTGGCCGACGCCGACTTCTCCATCCTGGATGAGGCGCAAGTGCTGGCCAGCCAGATGCGGAGGCTGGCGGCCGAGGAGCTGGGAGTCGTCACCATGCAGGTAGGCGACCCCCTTCGTGTCCCGAGCTTGCCGGGCATCCTGCCTTTCCCTCTGCCCAGCAGCGCCTTTGGCCGGGCGCGAAACCCTCTTGTAGGCACCGAGCTCTGAGTCCTGCTGGACCCCTGTCCCTCTGTCTTTGGCGGCGTCACCCGTTGACTGAGCACCAATTCCTTCCTCCCACCCCCTCCTCCATGCACCCCCTTTCCTCTGCAGGATCCCCTCTGCCCGGAACCCACTTTTGCCTGCCCAACCCCCTTTGCTGAGCACCTGGTCCTTTATCTCGGTCAAGGATTCTCTGGTTTCCTCGCACCTCTCTTCCTAATCTGCACACATTTTCCCCCTTCGTCGACTTGTTTTCGCCCGGCCATGCCTTGCAGAGTCCCCCTGCCCTCTTTGTGTCCCCATCTCCGGGCAGCCAGCCCCGCCTGGCTCAAGCCATTTCCCAAAGCCCCCCCAGCCGCCCCCCTTGGCCACTTCCCATCCTCCCCGGGAACTGGGGCGCATGGATGGGCGCTGGGAAGGAAGGAGGTACCAGAGATTACCCAGTTGCTCCAGGGCCCACCCGGGGGTCCCGGAGGAGAACTGCTCTGGAGCAGTCTCAGCCGCCCCCTCTCCCCTCGTCCGGGTGATCTGGAGGGAGGGGCTGGCCGGGTAGAGTACCCCTGTAACGTCCTGGTGGGTGGGTGGGTGGGTGGGTGGGGGGACTCTTTTTGTTGCTTTAGGTTTATGCTGTTTGTGGGTTGCGTGGGGTCGGCTGTACAAGCTTTTATTTTTTGCATTTGCCTTTTTTGTTTGTTTGGTGTGTGTGGGGGAAAGGATCAAAATGGAAAGGGTTCCCATTCCTCCAGATTGTTTAGCTTGTCAGTCTCTTCCCAGGAGAGGAAGAGAGACTTACAGAAAAAAAATGGCTCGCGGCTAATAAGGAATCCTGATGTTGTTACTCATAAGGCACAGTAGTAAAAAAAAAAAAAAAAAAAAGCTAAACAGCAACCACCTGGAGATTCTATCTCGAAGTTATTATCCTCATAGTGGCCGGGAAGACTCACTCAGTTAGGATAAGTTAAGATGACATTGTGAGTGTGAAACCTTTAGTATAGCATTATTTAACACTGTACAGTCTAACCACAGTGATGGTGATGAATGTGGTCTTCGAAAGAGCGAAGTTTCCAGGAATGTATTATTGGAAGAGGCTTCTGATTTCGATCCTTCAGGGACTATCCCACCTCTCCCACAGGGAGAGGTGTTTTTGAACCACTTTGGGATTCAGGTTTCTGAGAGTTTTTAACCCTTCCCCCACCCCAGACTCCCAAGAGGCTACAGTTTTCCTAAAGCGAGTTCCACAGATCTCCACTGTATCAATGGCCATTTTTTAGGAGGTTGAGTCTAGCTTTGCTTGAAAGGTAATTTTACATTTATTTGCACACCCAGCACTGAAGTGCCCTAGAGTCGGATTTTCTTCATTTGCATAAGAATAGATAAGCTTTTAAAATACATCTTTTAACTCTCTCTGCAGATCTTTCTGGTTCAGATTCAATTATAATTTTTTCCATATGCATTTTCTGAATCCTGACTGTGGCTGAGTTCTTAGAGGGAAATGACTTTTGGAGGAGATGGAAAACTGAGACTTACTTTTCCCTAGTGAATGTTTCAATTCAGAACACAAACAATTGTCTTGTAAAAGATTTAATGTTTTACAGTCTTGGACTTTGCTTTTAGGATTAAGTGGCATTTGTTGCCTCCAGCCCTGTGGTTTGGTCAAGGGATCTTGCGTGGGTCTTTCCCCTTTCTCCCTGTAAGCAAAGGACTTGCTTTTTTTCTACAACACTGACAGCCTTGGCACCCTGTCCTTGACAAAAGGTGAAATTGGATCCTAACACATTGTTATTCAGGTAGGGTTCTAAAGCAAATGTAGTTTTAAAAAGCTTCCCCGTAGAAAAGGAGACACTTTAGGGAAAAAAAGCTCTGGTCAGTGGGGGAGTTGTGCCCAAATGGCCCTTTATCTCCTTCCTACTGGCCTCCCTCCAACACCTTTGCTACCTCTTTGTGGAAGCCGACCTCCTGCAGACAGGGTTTTGTCTGGTAAAATGTGAAGTGGCTTCTCTCTTTTTTTGAAAGGAGTCACACTTACTGTATTAAAATTCCTCTTCTAGAGTTGTACATTGATCTACCACTTTGCCCCAATGTGGGAAAATTGGGGGGAAGAGTCTTTTTTTAAAAAAATGTAGTTAGAACTGCCAGCTCTTTTAAGGCAGATGGTGTGCTTGTAAATAACAAAATCTAACACAGGCTAGATTTCTAACTCCTCAGCATAAAGGTTGTGAACCTTACATACTTCTATAAACCTTAGGGATTTGCTCAGTGGATCTAAAGTTTAATGTGCTTTTGGTTGTGTTGATGTAGATTAAGGAGACCCTTTCCCCCCTATCTTCCCTTTTGCAATGTTGGATTTTTATAGGTATAGATCCAGCTGGTGGCTCAGAGACAGTCGATTGTGGAGGTTAAGTTGAGCTGGGTTAGACTCCCACACAAAGATGGCTGTCAGGGAAAGGATTCTGACTCCTTTCATTTGACCTTGGCATTTTTAGCAGACCACAGTCCTCCTTAGGACGGCATTTCATTTTATGACAAAGTTTCTGTAGGCCAATTTCCTAATTAAAATCAAAATTCCTGACTTTTGATTGTTTCTGTTGCTGAAGAAGGTTCCAAAGGTAGTTTTTAATATTGAGAAATTGTACCGTAGCCTCTACACCAGACCTGTTGTTTTACAGTAGTTCGAATGGCCATGCTGGAGGTTGCAAAGGGTGATTGTACAAAAGTGGAAACCGGGTCTTTTTTCAGCTCTGTAGTTTCCCATGACCATCTTGGTACCTGAGGATAGGGAAGACATTTTAAAAGGCAGCCTATCTTAACCAGGTGCCTTGGAGTTTTCTGAGGGCTACCTACTTGTGATTATTTTGTGTTTTTTTTAAAATAATGAACAACATTAAAAAATTTTTTAAATGATAGGCACCAATCAATTTAACCAGTGCCCCTGGGCAAGCTGCCACTGAATACTGCCCCCTGGCCGCAGACTTCATACATCATGAGTAAAAGTCAAATCTAATCATCAACTCCTCAGGGGTCTGGTGGAGTTCAGCTATCAATGTGTGACTTGGGAGGAGAAAGCGACTGGTGTCCAGGGAGACTTATTTCTGCTTATTCATTCATGCAACAAGTTTATATCAAATAGCCTCGTGCACAAAATAGAAAAAGCCTCATGGTGGATATCTGGAGACATGAGTTTCAGCATTGCCACTTGCAAGTTGGATGATTTATTTTGCAAAATCAGGAGTGCTGCTTTTTGTTTGTTTGTTTGTTCTTTTCCCCAAGAATTTTGCTTTGCGGGCTTCATGGAGATAGTGCATATGAAGGCACCTGTTAACTTTAAGCTGGGTCCAAGAGATGTTGATGGATGTAGCTGGTCTTTAATAGAGAAATATTCTCTGAAACTGAGCTCTGGGACACGTGTGCAGGGGGTTTGTCAGGAGGTATTCCAGCACAGTCCTTTAAGGAGTTTGCCTTTTGGAGGAGGAGTAGGATCGCACAGGTAAGATGGTTAAGCAACAATGCCTGCTTGTTAGAAGGCATGTCTGCTCTGGGAGCCATTTCGCCAGGCAGTTACAAGGCCCATTTAACATTATATGACAATACAGGCTTCCTAACAGCAAGCACCTGGCACATGGCCAGTGTGCCCGCCTTGGTGTTAGCACTAACACAGCTCTTTTGGGCTGGGCACACTGGCCATGTTCATTCACTGTGAACTTGGCAGTCATACCAGCAGGTTGGTCAGACAGCTGCTATATGGGGCCTGGGAAGGGAGGTAGGGAGGTCTATGGAGTGGGGTCTTTCCAGGCAGCCAGAAAAAATACCAGAAACACAAACTGAAGCTTCATCTCAAATTGGAGGAAGAAGTAGCAGCCAGGATAGGCTCAGCTGGAGTAGAGAGGTGTCCATTGAAAATGGAGAGCAGTGTAAATAGTGACTGTAGCTGAACAGAAATAGACAATCCTCCTCTGTGAGCCATAAAAGAGCAATGCATAAAGTCATGCTCACTTTTTACATATATATCCAGCAGTCTTGTGGTGGGCTTCCACTCCAGGTGTCTTGAATGTCTTTCAGTGAAAAGTGACCCCTACCCTTAATCTCTCAACTAATCACGGAAGTAGACACAAAAAAGACATACAATCCCACTTTTTGTTAGCAGTAGAGAGATTGGTGCAATGGAAGAGGGACCACAGTGCCTTGTCCATGTTTATCATTTAGTCCAGGAAGTCATCTGTTTTGGTCTATTCAATGCCACAGCATGGAAGTGGAAGCAGTAGCCTCACATGTGAAGTGTTAACGACATCAGCAGTCATTAGATAATTTCTCAATCCTTTTTGGTGCTACTGGACAAAGTTAGCGGGTGCATCTTGAACCCATCACAAGGAGGTGACTGTGATTCTGTGCTTCTGTAGTTCCCAAATCGTAGTCCTTTGACTGTCATTCTGGCACTTGTATGTGTGGGGGGTGGCGAGGTGGAGTGGGGGGGGGAAGGTCACTGAGGCTTGAACTCAAGGTCTGTCCCTTATCTTTTTCACTCAAGGCTGGCACTCTACCACTTGAGCCACACCTCCACTTTTGACTTTTTGGTGATTAATTGGAGATAAGTACTCCCATGGTCTTTTCTGCATGGTCTGGCTTTGAGCCAGAGTCATCAGATCTTGGTCTCCTGAGTAGCTAGGATTACAGGCATGAGCCATGGGTGCCTGGATATTCTGGCACTTTTGTAGTGATTGGACATAAATATCTTTGCAGCTCTATTCCAACTGCTAGCTGATTTGCAGTCTAGGGGAGGCTTCCATTATCCTCAGACTCCTGTGCCCCATACCAGGAATTGAATACTGAAACAGAAGAAAACAGATCACTAATAGATGACTCAGAGTTGAACTTGAACTAAAGAATGTGCCCAAGAAAAACCA